AAGTTAGTAAGGATGGACTGCAGTCCAGCTACTCATGGGGGTCCACAGGATAAAAGCTGACTGGCAGAGGAGGGATCTCTCTTGAGCAACACGGATGCTTGAGCAGCAAAATCATGTCTTCATTAGTCTCAGTGGACAGGCCACTCCAACACAGAGGCTGGGCTGCGTACTTTTGCCAGCCTTTCCTTGTCTAGGGTGCTGGACTACTGCCTTTGGTCATTACTGTCTGCTCTCAGCACAACCCTGTGTTCATCCTCTGCTAGTGTAGTCTCAAGGAGGTCTGTGTCCACTTGGAGTGTGGTCGACAGGGGCAGGTGGTGCAGGAGGCCTTGGGGAGCCAGGCCCATGGGGGTTTTACTGCTCTTCAGAGTTCTGCTCTGCCACACCCCCACTGTTTATGTTTTGGTGACTCAGACACAGCTGAGTCACTGCCCTTCTCTCGCCAGGCATACTGCCCATAAGAAGGGCTGCTAAAGCAAATATACTTTATTTAGCAAGCAATTCCTATCAAATGAAGCCTGTACATGCCTCTGGTCACGAAGCAGCGCTGTTCCAGCTCCTCCGCTATTCCAATATGTCAGTCCCAGGAATTCCCAGGTACACAACATTTCAACTTTCATATCGCTTCTCTCATCCCTTGCCCATTAGATCATGGCCCATACGGGGTGCTGGTAAATGTTTAAGAATTCTGTGTAGAAAACTATAAAATGTTATTGAGAGATCTTAATAAATGAAGGATACATCTTGTTCATTATGGAAAAGCCCAGTATCGAAAAGATGTCCATTCTCTCACAATTGATTAATAGATTCAGTGCAGTCCCAGTCAAAATCACATCAGTTTATGTGGGTGCTTGTAGATATACTGATGCTGAGAGTTAAGGTTGGGGCTGGACATAGAGGTTTCAGAGTCCTCACCATGTGCATCACTGTTAAAGCCAGGACAGTGGCTCAAGACCAGTGGAAAAGGAGCGTGTTTACTTCCCCAGCATGGAGACAGACAGTTGCTGGACCTGGCACCTGCATTCACGCCACGTCCACCTCCACGGCCAGGCTCCTCTGTGGCGTAGCTTACTTTGGCTGCCTCCGCTTCTGCACTCCAAGTTCATTCTTTTTTAATACAATGCAGTTAGGCATCTTCCCACCCCATTGTCTTGTCCTTGGCCTCTTCTATAGCACTTGCCACTAATTACCTCTTCTCTGGCTTCCTTCCTCTTTTTCTCCTGCCTGCGTGCATAATCCTTGTAATGCACAGTCCTTGGCTCCTTAGTCTACATTCTTTTCCAGGACATCGTCATTCCCTTTCATGGGACTGTCTGCTGATGTCCCCCAAGTCCATGTCTCTATTTCTGACACTTCTAAGCTCCAGAACCATACTCTTCCCACTGCCCTCCAGAGTCCCCCAGCAACTCAAATTCAGTGTAGTCACTGTTCCCTGCAAACCCTTCTGTATTTCATGCACAACGTAGTCATCCCTATGCCAAAGTGACGTCATTAGACACCCTGTTCCTTTACCTCTGCAATGAATTGGTCTCTGAGCCTTAAGTCATATCTGATTCCTCTACATCATGTCTCTTCCTGCTGGTTCAGGTGTTGAACATTATCCCTGTATGACTGACCATGTCACGTCCATGCTTAGAGCCTTCCAGTGCCTGTCCATTGCCTGAAGGTCTGAAGAACTTCGTATGACCCAGGAAACTGCCCTCAGCTCATCTCACTCATTAAGTTACCCACTGTTCCATTTTCTGCCCTTCCTGGTCCTATCCTCTAGGTACGTTAGACTGTTCTGACATTTTTTCCAAACTGCCATCATTTTCTTTCCTGACATCTCTCTGCCTGGAGAGCTGCTCACATTTATGAGATCTAATGCTTGGCTTGGAGACCCCGTTCTCTGGGGCTCACTGACGCCACCCCTCCTTCACAGAACTGCACGTGCCCCTCCTCGGTGCCCCGCACTGTTCCATACATCTGGAGATATATGCCCATTCCTCCTACAGCACACAGCACATTTTATTGCAAGTCTTCACTGGTCTGCCTGTCTCCTTGCAGTCTGTGAACTCCTTCAAGGCAGAGACTATATTTTATTTATATTGTTTTCTCAGTCTTCAGCAAAATGCTTGGCACACAGGAGGTGCTCAATAAATGTTTGATGGATCAGGACACATGAACAAGGGCATTGCCTGCATGAAGGAACAGACCTGTCATGTGGCCGCTCCTCCTGTGTCCACGCACACAAAGGTGGTCCTTTAGTGTGGAGTCGATTGAGTGACTGATTCATTAAACATTTATAAAGTACCTGGTGGGCTTCAAGCATTGAGGGGATGGTCGAGCAAGTATCCACTGTGTCTTTGAGAAAATTACTCTTCCAGCACAGAAAGCAGCAGTGTGACATTTTGGCAAGTCATGCCCACACATCAGCGGAGAGTAGAATGACAAGCCCTTAAGGTCGAAGGCAGGCACGGCACTGGGAGGCTTTTCCTGCAAGCTGGTGACTTTCCATGTCCTGACCCTCTCCTCGGCATGAGGCTATCAGCTGGGAAAGCTGGCATGGCTTTCCAGGGCATGACTCAGGCAGCCACGAGCAGCTGCTGCTGCAGACCAGAACCCGGTCAGGGCACACGCAGGTGACAGCATCAGAGAAGTGTGATGGGTTTGAGATGGAGGAGGCAGACGTGATGCAGGGAAGGCACGTTTGGGGATGAGGGACCCTTCTCATGCTTATTCCTAAGAGAGATACGTTCCCCTTTATCTCTCCCTTTCCAACACCTGCTCTCTGCAGTCTGAAGTGTATCTGTTATAAATCATAAAGACACAGTACTTTAAGGTTATTAGTTCGATGATTTCTCCTCCTGGGTTTTCCTATCTAAACAGCATAGAAAGACTTCGACTAACATTCTTTTTTTTTTTTTTTTTTTTGTCTTTTTGTCTTTTCTTCGTGACCAGCAACGGATCGCAACCCTCAGTGTCGCGCCCGTACCGGATGGGGACCGGCTACGGGATCGCAACCCTCGGTGTTGCCCCCGCTCCTCGCTCAGCCAGTGAGCGGCCGGTCTGTATGTGGGATCTGAACCCTCGGTGGGAGCACCGCCGCGCTTCCCAAGCGGCACACTGTAGCAGTGCGCCACCAGGCCGGCCCAGTCGACTAACATTCTAAATAGCAGATTAATGCCTGGAATTATGTTCTAGGACACGCAGATTCACTAAGGCTCTTGAAACTATTCCAGGAGGACGGTTATCTTCTTTATCCGCCAAGTTGGACAACAGGGGTTGGAGGAGAAAAAGCCAGAGGAAAAAAGGTCAGAGTCAAAGGATCAGGTAGAGCCCAGACCAGCAGAACATCTGGGGCCAGCTGTTCACTAAGGAGAATGAAGCTTTGCAGGCGGTGCTGGGGGAGAAGTCACATTGAATGGTGCGTGATGGGACCTTGAGTTGGGTAAATCTTTTGGTGCAGGTGGCAAAAAAGACCAAAGCCATTTACTCGTCCCTTATGTAGCCTGTCCCTTCTGCATAAAAACACGCTTACTTAGCCTGTCCGTTATGCATAAAACACCCTCAGTCACTTAGTCTGTCCCTTCTGCATAAAATACCGTTACTCACCTAGCCTGTCCCTTCTGCATAAAACATCCTCACTTAGCCTGTCCCTTCTGCATAAAAACACCCTCACTCACTTAGCCTGTCCCTTCTGCATGAAACACCGTCACTCACTTAGCCTGTCCCTTCTGCATAAAACACCCTTACTCACTTAGCCTGTCCCTTCTGCATAAAAACACCCTCATTCACTTAGCCTGCCCCTTCTGCATAAAAACACCCTTAGCCACTTAGCCTGTCCCTTCTGCATGAAACACCCTCACTCACTTAGCCTGTCCGTTCCACATTAAACATCCTCACCTAGCCTGTCCCTTCTGCATGAAACACCCTCAGTCACTTAGCCTGTCCCTTCTGCATGAAACACCCTCACTCACTTAGCCTGTCCTTTCTACATAAAACATCCTCACCTAGCCTGTCCCTTCTGCATGAAACACCCTGAGTCACTTAGCCTGTCCCTTCTGCATGAAACACCCTCACTCACTCAGCCTGTCCCTTCTGCATAAAAACACGCTTATTTAGCCTGTCCCTACTGCATGAAACACGCTCACTCACCTAGCCTGTCCCTTCTGCATGAAACACCCTCACTCAGTCTGTCCTTTGCATAAAACCATCTAGAGTTTGCAGCCTTCCGGGCCCCCTAGCAGAGGAGCGGGGCGGGGCGGGGCGGGG